TGGGGGCAGCGGCAAAGGCGGCCGACAGCAGAGGAAGCTTCCGCTGTAGAGCACGGGTTAGAGCTGCGGGTAGGCAAAAGGCTTTCTGTTACGGCCTCCAGCACTTGCTCAGCGTCCAGGTCCTTCATTATATAAATTGCTCCCTGGAAACACCATCCTTGAACACCACACAGCACCCATCAGAGGCTGGTCTGGAACACCATCAGTGACCGCACTTGTTCAAGCAGTTCTGCAGGTGAATGCTACTCTCGGCCCTCTCCAGGACACCACAACATAATCCTGAGTATTTACTGGAGACGCCAGGCAGCGCAGCCTTGCTAACTCCCTACTCTGTGACACATGCATTAATTCTGAGCAGGGGACAGTGAGGTTGGTTCTGCTTTACTTCCAGTGAGCCTGTAGAAGATGATTTCAGGACAGTCGGAGGCAAAGGGAGAGTGGAACGGAGTGGAAAAAGAACCCCTCATCTTTATATTAAGTGTTACAGTGAAGTCTCTTTTCTGTAAAGAAACAAGCCCCTAATATTTTTGTGTTGGAGTGAGGTGCAAATACCTGGTTACACACGGGCTAACATTATTTAGCAGTACTCCGATACACATTTTTTTCCTAATTTCTGAAGATAATAGCGCAAACCAAAGTCAAACCACTTCCCCCCGCACCCCCAACAAAATTCCTTTACAAATTTGACCTTAATACCAAAGCCACGTAGCCTTCATTCACTGCTCTTAGCTGCGTTAATTTGCCATTTCAGAAGATGGTATCCAGAGTTACACGCTAGACCTTCAGCCTCTGAATTTCTCTGAACTAAGCTGAATGTCACTTCATATCCCATTGGTTATGTGGGTTTCCTAAGAAAGGCTGAAGCCCTTTCCCGCTGAGAATTTCATACAAATAGAAAAAGCAATTCATCCCCATGGCAGTATCTGGTACACAGATATTGCAGTTATATGCATTGAGACTACAGTTACATTCAGCCAAAGGAAGACACACAGAATGAAGGGATAATGTGTACAAGAGATTGATTTAAACTGTATTTACTAATACTCCTTAAAGAAAGAAACCTGCTAGGCTAACAGTAGCTCCAAGGAAAGGGAGAGGAGCTCAGGCCAGAGTGCACATGAACTCCAAAGAAGAAACTATAATCCAAGTTCTGCTAATGTAAACATCCAAACAAAAATAAAGTTATTTTGGAAAGTTCATGGCTTTGGATATGTTTTCCAGAAAGCCAGCGTAGCAAAGCAGATGAGCAGTGTGCTATGTTCCCCAAATTGAGATTATGGTTAAATTGCTCAAGCTGCACAGCCTTCCTTCATTCCAAAAGCTGCTCAAGACACTTCCACCATGGCTGAATTTATGGACATAAGCACACAAAAACTACAAATTACTGTTTTTTTGTGCCCCCTAGCCCCTGTATCTGCGCAATAAATTGGAATAATTCCACAGCTTCACTTGGACGTCATGTCAAGGCAGGTAAGAGAAATGAGTAACAACACAGCTGTATCATACTCCACCAGGACACTGTTGTGCTAACAGGAACCACTGATCTGCAAATAGATCTCTCCTTTACTCAAAAGGCTACCAAATGCTATTATCTTATTCCATGGGGAATGATCATACAGGAACCAACATCTAATTTCTTATCAGCACTCTAACTTGTCATGCTCTACCACTTTGCATTAGAAATAAGCTCTTCAAAGGCCCTCATTTGGTATGGAACTTACAGGAACTGTGCCAAATCCCAGAGAAATAGTGTACTATCAATAGAAAACCATAATATGCAGCAGATATGGCCAGGGACACAGCAGAGGGAGATGGAAGCAGGGAAGATGCACTACCAATTAAAAAAAAAAAAAAAAAAAATTTTGCCCAGAAACTTCATTTACCTGCATATACCACCTCTGATAAGAGAGAGAATACAAACCATTAACTAAGGACTTGCAAATCATCTACTATTAAAAAATGGGAGCATCTTCTAAAGAAGAATAGTCTATACATTAAAAAGTTTGTACCAAGGAAACCTTACACTACTTAATACTCAGAAGAAAAGAAAAACCCAGAACAATCAGGCATTTGTGTTCTGTTTCATAGGAACATAACAGAAATCTACTTCCCTGCTTGAATAAATATTTTGAGCAGAGTAGAGAAATGCTTCTTCACTTAGATATAAAAAGTCCTCCTAATGAACAAAAGACAAAATGAAGTATTCCTCTAAGTCCTTCCTTCATTTTGTTACTCACACATTGTAAGGTTTCTATAGTCTTCTTATAGCATCCTGCTCAAGTTTTTTTGTTGTTTCTTTCAAGCCCACTCAATCTCTGAACTTTCCTATCTCACGCTTGTCTCTTTTGTTCTTATTTCACTTAGGCTTGTGCTTCTCCTGTCCTGAAGAGGAAAGTTTCCTAACTAAAAAGCACATGCAGAAAACCAAGAAACAAGCAAATGTTTGTTTTAATAGTTACTCAAAAGTGTTTTAAACCAACAGCTTAATTTAAAATAGCTTAATTTTATTAACCTTTGGATACATGGTCTAGTTTCAGTATTAAAAAAATTGCTGAAGTTGATAACTTCTCTTCCTGAAAGTCAAAAAAATGTAGTTATTTGTTCAAAATAAATGACCACCTTAAAACAGCAGTCCTTTGTTGAAGTCTGCACAGTTACCTGTATGTATAAAATCACTTTCCATTGTGTATTGTAAAGGATAATTAGATGCCAAAGAGAATTTTGAGGTCAGCCAGAGTGAGCTTAGTGAAGGCCTCCCCTTTGCCTGACAGCACCTGCTGGGCAAGAACTTTCTTATTCCTCTGGAGTTGTAGGATCTTTTCTTCTACTGTTCCTTCACAGACAAACCTAAAACCAAAGCCACATCATCTCAACTGCTAGGAAAAAGCATCAGCATTATAGAAGCACTTCCCCAGTAAATTTCCAAAGACTTGTCTCAAAAATTAACAGCCTATTAGGTGACTGACAAAATACACCTGTGCCCAGAAAAGAGCTGTTCTCATATCCAGGTATTAAAACATTTCAAATTAAAGTCTGATGTACTTAAGGCCTCAGCTCTGGTCATCTGAAGCACTAGTAATTCTGTGACTAAATCCTGTAATGATTGTTTGATAACTGATGGCACCTATTCCACTAAAAGCATCATACGCAGAATAGTATTTTAGATTCCAGTTTCTTTGAATTTGTCAAGCATTTACAATAACTAAGCTAGCCTTTTAGTAGTTACAATTACAGATGCTTTTTCTAAAAGCCAACTTTGCCACTTAATAGAAGTGCTCTATATGTTAGTGATATTAGAAAGGTCCAGGTTTAGGGAGCATGGTGAAAAATCTCCACTCAATAAGAGAAGAGAAATGGTTTGGTGCCTGAATTGTTCTTGGGAATGAACAGGACATTCCCACTAAATCACAGGTTGAAAAACAACAAACCACTGCTAGCTATCAGGACAACAACATGCAGGCAAATGCCACATAGAAACATTTTCACGTGGTCTCTATCTCAGTGCCCAAACCCCAATCCCACTGTCAGACCTTGTGCCTAGCTTCAGGTAAAGAAACAAGCCTCAAACTGAGGCCTTGTCTCACCAACTAAAGCCAGACAGTACATGAGCAGCAACAGCCTCATTTACTGCTAAGCAAAATCCTGACCTGTGTATCACAACATCCTTCCGCTGCCCCACTCGGTAAATGCGGTCACAGGCCTGGTCCTCAAGAGCAGGATTCCTGCAATGTAAAAACCATACAGCTTAAGGGCTTATGTTCAGGAATAACTGAAATACCGAAACTTCTGAGCTTGCCTCATTTGCCTGCCTCCAGAGCATCCTGTTTTCTTCCTCTGTAGAACTAAAACTGCTCCTAGGTTACGTTAGGTTTACTAGCTTGATTGCCAATATTCACCCTGACTGTATTTCCCTTTGCCCTTGGTAGAAGTATGCTACAACTCCACACAAAGTCAGCTGTATGAATTAGACCACTGTTCCATGTAGCCCCCTATTTCTGGCCAATAGTTACTACTCAGAGAAAGTTGAGGAGCTGGTGAGGAAAGAGGAGTGTGAAGCAGGAAGGCAAACTCCATTGAAAGAGGCCTTCACTCAAGAATATTTACATAAGACATGGCTCTGACACACAGTTACAGGGAATACTTGTTGGCATAACTTCCATATTGTAGAAACATCTCCTTAATGCTGCTACTCAGCAGCTGGTTTTGTACTGAAGCACATTAATTTGCTCTGTACTGTAAGTTCCCATGAGCAACAATTTAGTTAAAAACTGTGATTCTGACTTTGCTGAGAGACAATATAAATATTAGGAGCTCATATGCACTATTTTCATAGCCCTGTAAGACCACAAGGTACACTAGCTATACCTGATTACTGACTATGCCCCACACAATCAATTTGTTTCAGGACAAATTCCCTGTAGCCTTTAATGTACCATTTTCATTACTGTAAGAAATTAAACTAGGGACTACCAAGTCCCCAGTATCCTTTTGTGATACAGACTGCACACATGTTTCTTTGGATTGCTGTTATCCTCCTCTATTTTTTTACCCCTACAGAACTGTATTTCATGGCAGTGAGCACTGGATTGACAAATCAGAGTGTCTTGGAAGAAGACTGGAGTAAAAACACTTTTCCACAACTGACCACTAGCCCTTACTCAGCTAAACGCTTCCCTCCTAACCCAGTTGTATCAGACGTCACAATACACATGATGAGAAAGCAAGGAACACGCCCTACATATATCCTCTGAGATAGAACTTTTCTTTCTCTTTACCAGTGCATGTCGAGGAGAAAGAGGTGGTTTCCTCCAGTCAAGTTCAGGCCAACACCGCCAGCCAGCAACGAGACCAACATTACCTTCAAAGGCCAAAAGAGAGTTAAGGAGCCTGTTTCCAGAAAATTAATGCTTCATATACTCCACATATTAATTTGAACCAAATTATCTGTTTATCATATTTATATTAGATGCATGTATTTATTATGTATTTGGGAGCTTGCCAGATGTTACTTGATGAGGCACAGAAGCATGGACATGGAATTTATGGCTCAGAGAGGCCAGCCTACTATTCCATGTATATTACCGTGATACATTTTTACAGACTAGAGAAAGGACTGAAAAGTTCAGACGCTCTCTGTGTCCCACTCAAATGACCAGCCTTTCTGATGACAGCCTGTTCCCAACAATGGGACCAATAAGCACCAATTCTGAATTAACAATAATGATTACTTAAACACAGGCAACTGGACTGAAATGGCCTGCTACTCTTTTCACTTTGTTTCCACATAACCTGGTATCTAGAAAAAGATGAGTAGCTGGGGAGGAACAGCGATATAGCAGATGGTCAGTTTAGAGAAGATTTCTTGTACAGCAGGAAAAGAACTCAATTAAGGGCAGAGACACTTGCTACATATATTTATTACTCAATTTCATGGTATGGTACTGTAAAACCCTGATATTGTTTAAGGGGTCAGCTATTCATATAGCTGGCAGAAATCTTCCTTTGTTTAAGTTCAAAGCTAGAAGAAGAAATATCTGTTTTGTGGACAGCAGCTTGTTCAAGAAATCCAGCAAAGAAAACAAGCTAACGCACCACATTCTCCCCTTCTAGTCACAGATCCATCCTCAGAGGAGACAGCCTGACCTGCCTCAAGCACAGGAATGTCAGCATCCAGATTGAAGTGTAATCATTATGAATAATTAATTTGGATTCACACGTCTTTAGTTACCTAGCGAGCTTCCTTCCCTTGGCCAAAATTTCAGACTAGAAGCTATTTTCAAGAAGAGCCAACACACTGTAGTTCATCAGCATTTAAACACACACACCCCACCTGCCCCCAAACACTAACAACTCAAGAGTGAAAGAAGTCACATGAGATCACCTTATTTTGGATGTGTGCAAAACTATGACTTCTTTCGGCCCAATGCTAGTCTTCCTATCTTTATACAGGGGTGAGGTATGCTCTTGTTAATTTTAGCCTCATTCACAGATTCAACTGTCATCTGCTCTTCTCAAAAAGATTAGTCTGGTAAAAAGTATCTGATGCTTTGGAAAATGGCAATAAATTCTTACAGGCTCCTTGGCAAGCAAGTGATCTACCAAAAGAAACATCTTCCAGTGCAGAAGCATGGGCTGGAAACAACCATCCTGCTCTGAGTAGAGCTAACTGGCCCCATATCTTCCACACTACTCTCTGTGGCAAAACCATCTTTGAACACGCTGATGATTTGGACCACCTCTGAACTAGCTTTGGAGTCCGATGATCTCAGTGCAGAAGGTTAACATCAAAAGGAGCTTTTTAGCAGCTGCTACTGCCCATTATAAGATGTACATTTGTTTTTACAGCTACCTCTTTCCCTGCTGATCTTGGCACCTAGAGGTCCAAATGAAAGTGATGCCAGTAAATGGAAACATGAAGTCAGCTATCACAGCTGCTCACAGCAGCACTAGTAACTGTTTCCCTGCCCTCATTGCATACCTGAGGCCCTTTGGGATTGTTATTGAACTCTTCTACCACATCCATTCTCTGCTTAGGATTGACAGAGCCATCCACTGTCGCATACTTCAGCCCTAATCGCTGGAGGTGCACAGCCACAACTTTCAACATACTCGTCCACTGAGAAACAACAACACTGGAGAGAGAGAAAAGGGAATTTAGAACAAGTTCTGTGTGTACTGTAACAGTTTGGTTATTGCAGCGTCTCACCCAAGAGGAGACAATGATTCAGGCACTCTTCCCCACTGCAAACCGGAGCCAAGCCCCCTCCCAATTCAGAAATAGATTCACCTGTAGGTGTAGTGGTAGAACGTGCTGTGGAAGGCTAACACCCAATAAATTTCAGACAAATTAAGTCTATAACTTTCACCTCTATTTTGGGATTTTACATTGACACCTACCAATCACAATTCTGAGCTTTTTCTGCAAATTGAATCAACAGCAACACCAAACTTGGATTCCCCTGGGCCTCTCACTCCCCACACTTTTTGGGTTAAACAGTTTGGAAGGTAATAATTTGTTTGATAGCTTTTTGCTAGGGAACAAAAGTAATGTTGGTGTTCCCATTCTTATGGTGGGAATGCTTTTTGGAAAAGACTTTGGAAAAAAGCTTTCTACATATGGTGCAACTCTGGAGTTGCCCAAGAACAGGGCTTACCCTTCCAACCCACCCCCAACATAACAACACAGGTGTAACTACTTTGCAGCCACACACCCCTAAGTGCATTCTACATTGTTTAACAAAAACAAGCAGAAAACCCTGTAAAAGTGCAGTCTGGTGCAAAGACAGACAGAACTTGCAGTCAGAGCTGCAGGACTTCAGCAACACTTAAGTCCTCTGATCAATGCATTCTTTTATCTCAAACAGGTTCATTTTTAACCACTACTTTATTCCCCCACTTTTTTTGGGTGGTGGGGTCGGTTGCAGAGCTGAGGGCAAATATTTCTCAACACAACCAAATTATTCCCAATTCTGTTTTTTGGAGAAAAGAAGAGTCCTCCTGGGCCTCAAGGCCTGAGATTCTTCACACATTTCCTTAGGTTTACACTTATATACATCTTAAGCTATGCTCTTTTATCTTAGAATTTTTTTTTCCTCAAAATCCACTTTCAACTGCTGCAGTACTGCTACCATTTTACCATACCAGGAGATTTGTATTCAATTATTTTAAACTATTTCTGCTGCTGTCAAGAAACATACTTCTCTCAATCACTATGACTAAAGAAAAGGACATGCTTACTAACCTCTTCTGAGACTCCGAGTGACTCTGAATAGTTTTCAGTTCAGCCAAGAGATGAGCTATCTGCAGAAAAAAAAAAAAAAAAGTTAGTCTGCTTACTGTCATAACTCAGCTCATGCTTGGCTAATCTTCATTAAAATAGGAAGTGATCAAAATAACTCTTCAACTGGAATTGCTTCCATACTCAGACTTTCAAGATATTTTAATAGTCATTAGTAAGAACACTCCCACCATGGAAAAAAGGGTTAAGAAATCAAATCATACAAGCATGTTTTACAGATTTCAACCTTTCTGTGAGAAGCCAAGTTATTGCCACCTCTCCTCTTGCTGCTTGCTGCCATCCCATTTTTTCTAGCTCTTCACAAGCACCATGCTCTCACATGCCTGCTTTTCTAAACTTCTGTGAATCCAGTGCTCAAGATTTTCACTGATAGCTTACCAGCACAGTCAGATTCTCACAGCTTTATTAGAAGTAGCCATCAACACCTGAGAAGTTGGAGCCTTCCCAGAAGGCATTCAGCAGACTATCAATCTACTCACCTAATTTCATCTAAATTGCCAACTTAGCCTGATCTGCAATTACTGAGGTGTGACAATTCATTAACAATTTAAAAGGCAAAGTGCTGAATTCCAAGCTTCTCAAGGAAGGTAAGAAAGCCACAACCAGAATACCTTGGTGCTCTCCCTGGTGATTTCAAAGATATCTGTTTTAAAAGCTGTGCCATTGAGGTAGACTGCTGACTTGGAATCAGGAGTCTGGAACTCAGACAGGGTCAAAGCACTAAGTTGTTCCTCAATGGAGAGGGAAAGACCTTCACTGTTCAAGTTAACTTGGTCCAGAGCCTGTGGGAAAGCAAGCAATATAATAAGGGATCACAGTCAAGCCTGAGATCAAATTCAGTTAATGATCCACAGTCTGCACAATGTCTGCTGAGGACAGTGGGTTTGAAGGAAACTATGCAATATGAAGACAGAAAGATTAAGAAACACTACTGGGTCAGATGAACAGTCCCTTTGGGCCCTTATTCTGCCCCAAGAAGGGGCAGCATAGAGAAAGCATGTGAGCTCAACCATTTTCTGTCATCCAGTCTCCTCAGATTGTCCCTCCCATAGCATTTAACAGTTGCAGGATTAAAGAGGTTAGAAGATAAATCCCTGCCTGTTCCCTTAGTATCTGGACTTAGTCTACAGCTGCGTTATATGACAGAGCAAAGGGCTTCTGAAAGCTTAGTCTGCTTCATGCAAGGCAACTTCAGTCAAAGCACTTACAGAGCTCTCCAAAGCACAAGCCTTTAAAACAGGCTACACTTGTGGACTTGTGCAATTTTCAATACTAGGTTAAGATCAAGACTTCTTCTTTGCCATTAAAACTCTGTTTCTTTTTTTTTTTTTTTCCCCTGAATAAAGGTATTTCCAGAAACACAGCTGCCCACATAGGTCATGCTGGGAAATTCTTCAGTAGGAGGTACGTCCATCTAAAACCTCTTGGGCTGTAAAACTCACAGTCCTAGAAATGGCTCAGTTCACACATCCCTAGCTAAGAGATGTGAGGGTGTTACAAAGTCTGTTAACTTACACAAACACTTAAAAAAAATCCCCACAAAACCACCACAATACAATGCAATTACCACTTTCAGTAAGGAGAGATGGCAGCAGCACTGACGGAGCCTCAACAGCATAGACAAGACGTGGACAGTACTTGAGACCTGGGAGGCACTTTGGGGGCCTGCTAGAAATTCCTTTTGACTGATCCCAAACTCTTGTGCAACTGCCAAGGAAGGAAGACAAAACATCAAGAGCTCTTGGAGGCATTTCCAAGTACTGCCCAGCCACCTCCAGCAAGAGTTTCATCAATAAAAGAACCAACAGGCAAGCAAGTACCTGATTTAACATAGGAACCCATCAAACCCCAAAACAAAAAAACCCAACAATACCACCAATCAGAGTACCACATACCTTATACTAATACTGACATCTCTTCTCTGAGACATTAGGCCTTTATTTCAGAAGGGAATTCTAGATCCAGGGAGGTTAAGATTTGCCCAGAGCCACAACAGTGAGAAAAGACTTTTGGAATACTATGGTAGGATTCTTTGTAACATCAGGGGAGCATTTTTTCAAAGAATTTCTAAGTCCTGACCCCATGTGACCAGGTCTGTTCCCCCTCCTTAAATGTGCACTTAAAGAGTCACTTCTGCAAGTGTTTTCAGGGGAGGGAGTGCTTAAACCTTTCTCAAACGGGTTACCACCAGCATACTCTCTGCCTTCATTTTTCTGCTCTTGTCTCTTTAGGTAGGATTGTAGTGTTGACCTGAAAAAACAAGACGGAGACTGTGGGATTTACAGCAGGAAAAAAGGCAAGGGGGACCTGAGCTTAACAGGCAAGCTACTGATGCATTAAGATAAGGAAGGTTTCACTAATCATTTAGTCACAAAGCAATCACAAAAAAACCCACTTTTGTTTAACTTGAATATGATCAAAACCAAGATCCATTTTGGAAAACACAAGAGGAAGCAAATCTGCTTATTGGAATACCTTAATAGGAGCCAGGGCCCAATGGATAACATTGTTCATAATAAAAGGACATATTTAAATGTGTATTTAAAAGGAAGGCAGACTCTTTACAGCAACGCTGTTGAAAGAGATGCTAGCAGAACACAAACTGACACTGGCTTGCATTACAGCCATCTGGAGAGGCCAGCATAATTTCCTATTGTAGAAATATCACAGGGCAAAGAAGATAAATTCTCTCCTTTACCGGTGCTGGTACATCATCATTTAAGAACTACTGTTGCAATTCCAAGTCTTTGGAGTCTTGAAACCCATGGGATTAAGTGTAAGGCAAGAATACAAAGCTCATGCAAGGCATGAACATATGGGAGAAAATAAATGATTCCATTTCAACTATTACCAGAACAAGCAATGTATTTTCAAACATGCCTGACAGATAGGCAGACAGGGAAAAAACATTAACAGGAATTTTTCCAAAAGCTTGTCTTATCTAAAGTGGGTTGCTCTTTCAGATTTTTCATACCAACAAGATACAAAACCACAAAATACCCTATCTCTACCCACATTCATACCTGGATCTTGCAAAGAGCACATTGTACACAGACTGCTCCTCCGCTGAAAGTTTTAACTGATGCAACTGTGTGCTACGCTGGGGCAGAGATACCTGAAGTAAAAATACACAGGGTCAGATGTATATAGTGCAAAAATATTATACAGCATCACAAACACCAGCATTTGAAGATTTAACACCACATTCTAAGTCTCAGAAGATAGCTGTTTCTTCTTTAAAGTTATTTGTATTAATGCAACTATGACACAACATAGATACTCACAGAACTCCAAGTAACCTGGTTAATGCTCAAGATAAAAATCTTTATTCCAAATCATCCAATAACAAGAGGCATGAGCAACTAAGTACAGACTGCTGCATAACTACCATGGAGGGATTCATTTATTGCATTGTAAAAGTAGCTTCTCAGTTCCCCATTCAGAATCAGACAGTACACCAAAACTACACCTTTTAAAGGCTTATGGACACACCAATGACCTAATACTCAGTTTAACAGACTACTTGTAAAGAGTAGTGCAGAAAGCCAATGCTCCAGCACGCACCAGATCCATTTGACATGCAGCAGCTTTGATTCTCAGAGATGTAGGCTAGCTCAGAGACCTAGGCTAACTTTCCACCAGCTGGACATCTACTTGCAATTACTTGATGTATTATTGTCTGTGTGTGATTTATAACTAAAAGGTTTAATTATTCTGTATATTTCTGCTTTCTGGATAAGCAATCAAAGCATCCCACAGGCATTCGCTCCTCTTGCTCAAGAGACCGCAGTAGACAGGAGAACCCACACATTAACAAATTTATACATGTAAATAACTAACTGGCTGCTGCAAGGAAAACAACGGAATGATTGTCTAGTTGTGGAGGGTGAAGTTCTTACCAAGGGCTTGCCAGCTGAATCCAGCTGGTCCTTAGTTCTCCGTAATAAGAGGCTCCTGGTTAAGAGGCTTAGCCTCTCTCCTCCCTTCTTTGTGTTGTTATCTACTTGGTACTTCCACACTTTGTATTCATCAAAAGGAGAGCAACGTAGAAACCTATGACAGGAAGGAAGGAGACTTCATACCAAGGGAAGAAGAGTTCTTCAGTTACTCTCAAGTGACCAGAACCAAATTCCTTGCTATCCAGAGCAAACCATTTCCAAATGCCATAACTGCTCGGAGCGCTAAAACAGTTCTAGGTAATTGCGTTGATAACTTGTTTGTGCAAAAGTCTTACCATCACTAATACCATCAAAGCATCCTTCTGATTCTGTATCCATCACTTCCTCTTAGCTCACTATGTCTCAAGCATCACCAGCAAATGAAGGACATCAAGATGCAGAGGCACTTGCCGGAAAGTGTATTCATTTGTTATTTCAAAATCCCATACCTCTTACTTGAGAATTAATTTCAAATATCCAAAATTAATTTCAAATGCAAGTTCCCTCTGGTTCTCCAACACCCTTCATAATCCTTCCCCCCTCAGCAACGAGGAGCATGGAGTTTAACCTGTTTATCATTTGTTTAGAGAAGCCGAAGTTTTCACCATTTCCTTCAATGCCATTGTAGCACAACGCTCTTTAATAAGGTCCTCCCAGGTTGCCCTGGTAGGAACAGGGATTATTGCACAAAACTTCTGTCCATTAAAATTAGTTTTGTGGATATTCATCTTGGAGACATAGGAGATCTGAAGTAATTTCCCCTTTATCTTCTATGGAAGCAGAATAGCTACATGCAACAGTAGACACACGGCCAGCCTTGTGCAATGCCTCACCCACAGCCTTTGCAATCCAGTGCCTGAAGTGTTAATATAATTAGTCTCGCTACCCTACATATCTTAGAAACCTCTCAAACTGAGAAACAACTTCAGCACTTCATCAGCAAAGAATTACTGGAATTGGAGCCCTGTCCATGTGTTCATGTGCAGCCAGCTCACCTCAGGAGAGAGTACATGTCCAGTAAGTTGTTCTGTATTGGCGTGCCGGTGACAGCCCATCTGGCACTGGCTCTCACTTTGCACACAGCTATAGAGGTTTGAACCTTTGGGTTTTTAATATTGTGAGCTTCATCCAATATAACTCGAGCCCAAGCTACCCTGAGCAGAGGGGAACAGGGAGATGATCCACTCTGAAAGAAGACACAGACCATTTATAACCCAGAGCAATAACCTTGCTAGGCTCTCTAAAGAGCCACAAGCAAACATATTTTTCCAGCTACAAGCCTTTTCCTGATGTTAATCAGCAGCAATCTGAGCTCTTACTGTCATGTAAGAGACCCTCTCAAAAAATCCTCTCTTCAAAGCTTCCATGAAAGTTTATAAGCCGAAGAATACAACATTTGCCTGTTCTTAATAACAATTTCTAATCTTTTGCTGTTTTTCCTGCTTTTAAAATTTTATTGCCTCTTTCTTCCCAAGAGGCATTTCATATTAGTAAAATTTTGCTAGGCTGGGACCAAGGACCACATACCATTATTCTGATCTCTCTACAGTTTTATAGATGCCACCTTGAAGTTTCAGGAAACTCAAAGGCCTGTCTGCTTTAAGAGCTACATCTAGATCTGTACCCTGAGGTAGAAGACAACAATATCCACCAGCACGGGACTTCCTCTATATTGTGTAGCCTAGTTCAGTTAGCATTCAGCAATCACTATTATTTTCATAGCCTAGCAAATACACTGCTGTTTCTTCAAGAGTGCAGCATGTAGACTGCCTCAGTCTCAGCTCAGATTGACCCAGAGCCTGAGCACGACAGGTTTCTGGTAGTTTAAAGTGACATTAGTCCTTCAGGCAGCAAACACCACCAAACAGGAGAATCTAGCGTTCCTTCACAGTCTCACCTCAAAAGGAAGAGTATAAGATTCATCACTGTGCTCTTAAAATTACATTTAAAGACATTTCAGCTGTATTCAATGTAGCATATTTTATATTACTATATATTATAATATAGAATATTCTATATTAGAACAGATTTACTGTGAATATTTTTCCCCATTGTCTTTCTGCACTTCACAGCACCTTCTCTCATCATTTTATTTTTATTGTGCAAACTCAACAGGTGACTTACAGGGAGAAAAAAAACCAAAACACATTCAACCTGCTGCTCTGCTGCTCACTGTAGCATACATAAGGTGCTACTTGAAACAATAATGGCTTGCAACACCTCAGAACAAAATGTTAAGGCAATCCTCTGTCAACAATATGGCTTCTCACCCCCACATCATGGTCCTGAGCAGGCACTTCCCCTTCCTCTTTGCTTGTGGGAACCTCCTTGGAGAGAAGGCTGTAGGTTGTGACAACAACATCATATTCAGAGAGCCTGCATAAAGGGAAAGTAGTAATCAGGAACAAGAATAAATGAGGAATTAATTTTGCAAGACAAACAAAAAGCATGCTGAAGGTTTAAGAACAACACAGTTAGTTTTACAAGAGCCGAAATGCAGTTTTACAGATGCCGTAGTTTAACCCCATCCAGCAACTAAGCACCACGCAGCTGCTTGATCACTTCCCCCCCACCCAGTGCGATGGGCATAAGAATCAGGGGAAAAAAAGTAAAACTCACGGGTTGAGATACAAACAGTTTAATAGAACAGAAAGGAAGAAAATAATAATGATAACAATAATAAAATTACAATAATAATAATAAAAATAATTGGAATATACAAAACAAGTGATGGACAATGCAATTGCTCACCACTTGCCGACCGATGCACAGTTAGTTCCCAAGCAGTGATCCCCCCACTCAGGCCAACTCCCCCCAGTTTATATATTCAACATGATGTCACATGGTATGGAATATCCCCTTTGGCCAGTTTGGGTCAGCTGCCCTGGCTGTGTCCCCTCCCAACTTCTTGTGCCCCTCCAGCCTTCTTGCTGGCTGGGTATGAGAAGCTGAAAAATCCTTGACTTAGTCTAAACATTACTTGGCAAAACCTGAAAACATCAGTGTGTTATCAACATTCTTCTCTCATACTGAACCCAAAACATAGCACTGTACCAGCTACTAGGAAGACAATTAACTCTATCCCAGCCAAAACCAGGACAACAGAGAACTGAGCTTCATAGCAGTCAAACAGAAAGGACACATCGTACCCATTTTATGGATACTGGAAGTAAACACAGCAAGCTCAAGACGACCGTAAAAGCCAGTGGTACAGAACACACACCACGTGAATGAACCCTACTTCAAATCTGCCATCTAGAAATACTGTTCAGCATGGCCTAAAGTGGTGTAGAAAACAGTGATCTACACATACAGCTGATAAAAAAAAAAAATACAGCCACAAAGCAGAAGCATGGAAGAAACTGCCAATGACAAGTTTCTGCAAGCAAGAGATGTTTTAGAGAATATACAACTTTTTTGTCTTATCAGGAACAGCAATAGTCTGCGCCAGAACCACTTAGCATGGGTACAGGCCATAAAGGTTTTGCTATATACACCTTGACAGCAGACATCAGCCTGACCTGCTGGATCCTCCAGATTTCCATACTTCAGGTTCTTCCATTACTCTACAGCCACTGAATTTCAACTCTGATATACACAATCTCTTGCTGAGTAGTATTTTACTTTTCTTGGTCATATTTATGGTTTAGCACTTACACCTCTGCATGTTTATCTCGGTTTGGCCCATGGTACAAATAGACCCTCAGTTTGCCACAGCCCACACGTCTGTCAATCTCTTTCTTCCAGTGATGGATCAGGGATGCAGGACAAATGATTAAAGTGCTGTGGGAAGGGATAACAGTGGAATCTGCAGGGAAATATTGCAGACAAGTTTCAATGTCTTCACATTAGACTACAACAAAGACAGAAGTTTTGGAAATTCACAACAATTAAGATGATTGGTCCACTTTTCCTATGAGCATAGTTTGTGAAGCAGACATCTCTACATTGCATTCTTGGGGACTGTTAGCTCTGGGTGGAAAAAAACTCTACTTAAACACTAATGCGTCACTTCTTGTCCACTCAGAGTTATGCTATACATCTGTGCAGTTCCTTTGGATAAGCTGGAAGGTTAGAATTCAGGAACTAACCCTGACCTCTTCTAAGAATATATTGCCAAATACACTCTTCTTTCCTGTTCTAGAAGTCTGAAATGTTACCATTTTGAACAACGCAGGAAAAACAAACACACAGTCAGTAAACTTGGCAAGACAGGACCATGCCACTTCCATGAGGATGGAGACAGTAACAGGTTGTGGACACAGAAACAATACTCCTTAAAAACTCTAACATCCCTTAACTCTATAGACAAGACAAAAGTAATCTTGGGGAAGAGGAAAAAAAAAAAAAAAAAAAAATCAGTCACAGTGAGGTGAGTAGCCATTAATTTAAGTCCTTATGCTATGAAAACTATGTATATATTTACATATGTTGAAAAAAATATGAATCTACTCAAAACAGCATATGCTGGCTTTAACTGGTTCAGGAAACTAATCAAAAAATAAATCCCAGAGCAATATAAAGTAATGACTCGGGAAATCCTACACATCCAATGGAAGAACAAATGACACTGATCAACAGAAGGGCCTTGCAAGGGAGTGCAGTAAATATTAAGCCCAGTATAATTTTTTCACAGAAGAGAAGTAAGCACAGATAGAGTCTGTTGTTTTACGAGCTGTTAACCTATAACACTTTAGGCATTTCAAATGGCACTGCATCAAAATGTATGTACTGTATGATGGAAACAATTCTGTACCGTTTTTGGATAGCCACATTTCTAACTTCTCCTTTCTTTTCTCTGTCTTCAGCTGCTTCTGGGCCAGAATGAGAGCAATCATCGTTAGAGTCTTCCCCAAGCCCATGTCATCCGCTGGAAAAAGACACACAGAAGTTGTGATGACATGCTGAAAAGAGCCCCACTAGCTCAGATTGACACTGAGGTAAATACTGCAACAGAAATTGCCCTGAGGAACCTGGGAAATAAAAATACAAATATGACCATTTCAGGGTATGATTTAGTAATGGGTTAATAGCTGTAATCGGTCAAAAGGCACAGAAAAAGAAGCCACTTCAACATGCCTACTAAATAACCAGTTATTGGCCTCCCAGTAAGTTATATGCCAAACTGTTGCTGCCATAAATCTGCCCCCAAAACCCACTTCCCTGTTCTGTTGCTTACCTAGAATTCCTCCACACGGCCTCTGACTCTCCCTCCAGAGTAGCCATGTGAGCGCCTGTTTTTGGTGCTGCAACAGCGGAACCTGAGAGGGCGAAACAGAGGATTTGAAGGAAACACCTTGTAAAATTCAGACACTTCTGCTTGCTGTACCAAATTATCCAGTCGAACTGTCCTACTACAATCTAACTATAAGGAGTTTGCCTACCTGTCCTTTTCCCACATGGACAATGATACCCAAGATAGGCAACTTCTGCAGACAGGAGGTCAGCAGTACCATAGATCAGTCTTGCTAATGCTTTATGCACAAACCAACCTAGCCCTCACAGAGCACGTAAAGACGGCTTGTTCAGGTGGAAAATCCACCCTAGCCTACCTTGCTCACAACAGGCATCACTGTCAAGGAGAGGGACTGAGAACACTTCCCTTTTCTCACCAAGTCTAAGACCACTACAGACTCTTAAAAGACAGGAAGAAGGACTACATACTATCATCATAAGACATCAAATAGCCTTCTCCAGCACTGAAAAGATCCCAAGAGGATCTGACAAGTGACACAACATATATACACCTACGCACCATCTTGCAGAGGCATGTGCCTTCCAATATTTTGTACAAAACCTCAACTATGGGTTCTGCACCACTTGATAGATAAAGAGCTGTTCTTTGGCAAATCAGAACAGACTACTCTGGAGTCCACTGGGTTGCATGAACTCTATCATCTACAACACTTTTTTAAAAGACTGTTTCTTATAGCTCACTGGGAGACCTAACTGGGAAAAAATAACAGTAAGAGTTTTCTCAGTCTGTTCCTCATTAGAGACCTGCCTCTGTTGCCAGTCATGTACAGATAAATGATTGTGGGTTGGTTGCTTTGTCTGAGGCACTACTGCTTCATTCAAGCACTAAATATTCTCAAGACACCACAGCAAGAGGGTAGAACATCAGCATTGGCAATCTGAAGCAACTCTCATGGATAGAAAGTAATCAGAGCATCTCCTTCTGACAGGATGAAAACTGCAAAGTACTTCAAAGTGCGAAAGGGCAGGATGCTCTAGGGTACCACCCAGACGTTACACTTCATTTATCAGCATGACATCCTCCATCCCTGCCAACTCACCTTCAATCCAGAGGGATCTTCAGCTGCTGTCTGCTCTGTCGGACAGGATTCTAGAGATTTGTGAAGATGATTAATAGCCTCGCTTGTGGCACTGTGTACAGCCCTGATTCGGTCTTCTGTCATTCTTCCTCCATATAGATTCTGCACACCAGAGTTCACTGGAAAGATACAGTATTATGCATGAAATGTGTTTACAAAGCTAACTTTCCCAAGCAGATCTTTCATCTCGGAGATTGATCTCAGTGGCTACAGATGCCTGGGGGGCAGTATGCAGCTCACAGTAACAAAAAAGGTCTATTAGTACTCACGTATATCCACAAGTTGCAGGATTATTTCAGAAATAGTTCTCACCAGTATTCTCTTTAACGAAAAAAGTCTTTTTGTACTTACTTCCAAAACTGTGGCCATAATATTCACTGGAACCCAAAGTAGCAGCAGCAGAGGGGTGACTGTGTGAGCCTGAAGAGGTTCTTGCTGTAGGATCCTGGAGTGGTAGTGGTGTTATCAACTTTGTACCACCTGGCCTGCCAAATGGGTTAGGCAAAAATTCCTCACAGCAGCTGCTGCTTGTTGCGCTATCCTCCCCTTAATAAGAAAGGAATCGCAGGCTGAAAAGGTTGCACAGCAGACCTCAGAGCCTTGCGTTACAGCCCAGAGAAGGCCCCTCGTTTTGCCCAATAGTCTGCTTGCAAAATATTATTAAGTGGTCATATGGATTTAACAGCAGGGTAGCAGGCTACCATATCACCTGAGCCACTGCAACTACTAACATGCATGCTCTTGGCCTGCTCTTATGTGACAGGCAATGCAGTTCAGCTCAAGCCTCAATGTGTGGTTTATACCAATGCAGTGAACTTCGCAACTGTGATCAGATAAGAGCAAGCACAAGGTCAGTTCTGCACACAGTTCCCAGAGTATCTATTCCTTTTAAAGACGTCTTTGTTGTCAATGTTTTGGTCACAAAAATTATCGAAACATCCAAGAATGAATGGGCCAAGAACTCCTGAGCTTTTCTCTCCATCCTGGAAAGGTCTGCCTTGCATAAAACCAGATATGATATAAGACATTGGGACTGCTTGTTGTGTGGTGGCCTGTGAATTACTGCTTCCTTGCTAGAGATCTTCAGTTTCCAGAGTTGTCAAACTGGACCTTTTCATCAACACAATTGATATTATGATCACAAAGTAACTCTCCTGTCGAGGTCACTGTACAGGTAACCCAGCAAAATGCCTCTCTTCCACAGGTGATTAATACTAGTTAATAGAATTAGGAAATCACTTTACAGGAATGGCACACTGAAAGGTGCTTATCTTGTATCTGGTAACTGAAACATTCAGACACAGCAAAAAAATTTAGCCCTACCTTTTTCAGTAGTATCTGCTGTCGAAATGTTAAGAGCACCCAGTGCAGCTTCCAAATCCTGCACTTGCTTTAATAACCGTTCCCCTTTATCTGGCAGCAGCTGAATGTTCACTGTAGCCAATGTACTCTGCAAAACAAAAAAGAATCCAAAACCTGAGCGTGCTTACCAAGCTCTCTGCCAACAGAGAACAATCAGGTCAGAAGTTTAAAAACACTAATCTTATACTATAGTAATTTGTACTTTGATACTGTTCTACAATCTCCAAAAGCATTTAAGTGCAATTCAGTGTGGTTAAATAGTCTTTTAGCAGAAAATAAACTAGCCATTAGTGTACTTTAGAAGAGATGGAAGGACGCAGGGCCTCCCCCTTTTTATGAAACAGGATGAACAGGCAGTCAAGTGACTTGGACAATCTTAACATCTCTCAAAGCACCTAATGTTCAACCTACTTGCACGTTTCTTTCTATACTAGCAGGAACAACAGTTCTGACTGTTTATTTTGAGGTTCTGTTCTGAGCTCTAAGCAAACAGGGGATCTTATAATAAAAAAAACTATGGAACATATTTATTAGTAATTATTAAAAAAAGCAAACAGACAGGTAGTTTATTTCATCTTTGTGTGAGCTTTCATGGCTAGATCACTCTTACTTCACAAGGCCATGAGAGACCACCAGAAACAGCCACATTATTTAAAAAGGTTAAGCTGGCTGTGCACTGTTCTACCTTAAGCAAATTACTTTCTGGGTAAAAGACAGACACAACCCCAGGAAGGTCAAAACTGCACCCCCAAACACAGAAGGCTGTATTACCTTAGGGCTAATTGTCTCATATGCAGCTTAAAACAGCTAGCTTGTGCTTAGGCTGAACTCCCTCCCTTGCCCCATCTTCCTAAACCATCCAAATAGTTTGAGATTCAGCTGTGAGGGGATACCATATTCTGACACCTGTCACGAGTTAGGGAAGTCACCCTGAACACAGAACCAAAAAAAAAGGAATAGGTGCAATAAATTACCTTTTTCTGCTTCAGCTGGACTACAAGATGGTTGTGAAGAGCTTTAGGATCCTGGGTTCCTTCCACATGATGCAATGGTGCAGCTCCTGGCAAAGATGTGCCCTGCATACTCTTTCCTGATTTTCCTGAAGGAACCTCTCTTGACTGCAAACCCTCCACTGATTTCTCAGGTTTACTTTTACCTAATGAGGAATAAACAAATCCTTTTTCATCACTGTCACTGCTAGAGACTTCAGCAGCAGGCTGTCCCAGCCCTGGCCTGATTTGTGTCTTGGGCAGCACTGCCTCTGCTCCTCCCTTCAGGGCAGCATGCTGCAGTGCCAGTTGTGGTAATGCTGGGGAAATTGCATCTTCTTTAGACATCACTTTCATTTCTCCATTCTTCTGACCAATGTATTCTTTCTCTTTGGTTTCTTTATCCCCACAGCTTTTTAAGCTTTTCTCTCTGAGCTGCTCCTCCTCTGGAGGCTTGGTACTTGTACTTTGCTTTCCAAGACTTAGTGGAAAGAGCTTTGGTCTCCCGCCTCGCTCTTCCTCCACACACTTGGAAGACTTCTTGGATTCCCCATCACTGCCACCGTATTTCTCTTCAGCCCAAAGGATATTTTTCTCTTTCCAAGTGTCCAAAAGACCAAGTTTAGATTCAGACACTGTGCTCTCCTTAAGTTCTGGATCACTCCTACTTCCCGTGGACTGCTTCTTTTTAGTTTTCAGCCCTTCTAGAGGTTCCTTCTCTATGGAGGAATCTGAGGTTGATTTCTTCTCTTTATGTGACACCAGCACGCTCTCTTTCTCTGCTTTTACTCCTTTTGCTTTACTTTCCTCTCCATTTCCTTGCTTAATTTGTTTCCAGGATGATGGTTCACGATTCTTGTCTATCACTTTGAATGGATTTCTTTGGCCGCTGGGATTGAAGAGAGGTGCTGTGTTGGGCTGGGATCCTAAGGCTTTTGGCGCTTTGGTAGCTTTTGGGTCCTGCAATGTATACAAGTGAGTAAATACTAATGTACACATTATTAAAGCCTGTTAACAATACACACAACGTGATCATCTCAAGCAAGACTTCTTTCTTGGCAAACATCATCTTTCCTATCATTTTAACAGTATCAGGATAAACATTTTACAAGGAATTTTCTGCTTTCTTTGCCATTCCCATGTCTTTTGGGGATCAAGTCCCAACAGCACCATCCTCAAGAAAAGAGGACAGCCAGAGATCAAACCCAAGAAACATTTAAGACTGGAGAACAACGATTACTTCACACAATTTAGGAGTATGAGAAGTCTCATCTGGAGGAGAGCAGGCTGATACGCTTTTCAGCTAGAAAATACAAACTCTCCCACTATGTAGTCTCAGAGGTGATTACAGTATACAGAATGAAAAGTCATGCTGGAATAAGCTGATACTATAATACAAATGAAACATTCGTACCTGCCATGGGACACTTCCACACCATTTCTTCCCATTCAACTTACTATTAAGGCATCGGTAAAACAACCTACCAAAGAATAAAACAAGATTTGAACTGCAGGAGCCAGTAAAGGAACTCTAACCTTTCTATAGAAAAGTACTTTGCACTGAAACCATCACAGACAAGTTCTCTTGATCTGGACTTTATGTCCAGACTTCTGCATAAGCAAAAGGCCACGAACATTGGCAACAAAGCTTTTTACAAAAGCATTGTTCTCTGGGTAAAGATTCCTAAGGTTTTGAGTGGTTTGGTTTTTAATTTTTAGCAATAAAAAGAGGAACTGCTCAGGCAAAAATATTGTCTATGTTCAGAGCCTCAGAAGTGTCCCCTGATTTCAGGGTGTAAGGAAACAAGCTATTCTTTTAGTTACACTGCAAAGGCCACCTCATCTTTAAAGCACCTCAGGACCAGAAAAGCTTTGGATGTGATCTTTTTTTTAAACTGGTGATAGCATATGTCCATACGTTCTGTATGGTATGTCCAAATATTTTGATGGTCTTAATATGTTGTACCAGCTGTGGAAACTGGTTTGCTGCTAGATGACTGCAAAAGTGAGATTTGGTAAATAATTATTAGAAATCTTATACTAACACTAGGATTGAAACAATAGACAAAAGTATAGCCAAGCAATTAACTAGTAGAGGTAGTTACTCATAAGTTTTGCAGTTCTTTGCTCTTATGACTAGATGTTCCTGTACACTAGATGAGAACAATGTTGAAACTGACCACATGTGATTGAAACTGCGTTAAGCTTCAAGATCAAAGAACAAGGACAAGAACAAAGATTTCAAGGACAGCCAACAGAATCTCAAATGGGTCGGTGGTCGTAAAAGCAGCCCTTTGACTCAAATGAATTCTTCATTGTGCATGATCAGATGTAGGCAGTACTATGATAATCAGTTACAATAATTTCTATGTATATGTATACTAATCTGATTAATATGTAATCGTTACTCCATATAACCTGTTTGTGCTGAAGCTGTGGCATGCATGCTAGGTGGAATTATCCCTTGTGCATCCAGCACTGCAATAAAGAATGCCTGCTTTCTAAAGCTCCAAAATGAGTCTTAGAGAGTCTCTTTGACCGGCTTTTTGGTATCACTGGCAGCCAACCAGGACTGCTGCAACAACTTTATCAGAACTGGTGAATTCGATGCAACCATCCCGAGTCTTGGATGAATCCAAACACAGAACCATGTTCAATTCTGTTAGAAACAAACGTTATCTGATCACTTAGGTTTATATCATTGAATATAATTGCCAATCAAAATAGCAAACATTTTGAAACATGCTAAGTGAAGGCCTCAAGGCTGGATAAGCCTTTTCAATTCTAGAAGGAAATTGCAAGCCAGCTGCCATCAAACAATTCCAGATGTTCAAACCTGTACAACAAACCTTTTGTTTCCACTTTGAGGAACTTACTGGTATTCATCTCTGTGCTGCTGCTGAACCAGGACTTGCAGCTCCACCATGCATCCCTCATGGATCAAGCAGTGAGAAGCAGGAATACTGAAAAGAGGAAAGGAAAAGAGGAAGCATAAAGACAAGCTGCCCAGGGAACAGCAACGGCAAAACCAATTACCTGGGACAAAAAAACTCGGAGAGTCTTCTCGAGAACTATGTGACTAAGAAAAGGTTACGACTGCTGGCATAGCAGGGGGAGGCCTCCCGCCCTCCCACCCCC